TTTATTTCAGTTTCTTCTACCCCGCCCTTCTCACCCCGAAGGGGACTCAGGGCGGCTTACAAAGGCACAATTCGATGCCAACATCGCATAACAGTAGTAAAACAAAATAACATCAATTAAACAGTTGAAACAGTTAAACAACAATTCCTGCATTACAGCCCTAAAACCAATAAAACGATACAAACCTAATTACTCCTCATAGACGGTCGGCGTTCGCTATCTCATAGTCCAAATTCCAATTCCACATTGTCAGTCCTGTCAGTCCTGGTCGTTTAATTGTCCTTATCTAGTTGTCAGATTGCCCAAAGGCCTGGTCCCACAACCACATCTTTACTTTCCTCCTGAAGGAGAGGAGGGATGTTGATGCCCTAATTTCTCCCGGGAGTGAGTTCCACAGGTGAGGGGCCACCACCGAGAAGGCCCTGCTCCTCGTTCCCACCAACCTCACTTGTGATAGCGGTGGGGTCGAGAGCAGGGCCTCCCCAGATGATCTCAGACTCCGTGGTGGGACGTAGAGGGAGATACGTTCGGACAGATAGACTGGACCAGAACCGTACAGGGTTTTGTAGGTCAAAACCAGCACCTTGAATTGTGCTCGGAACTGAACAGGCAGCCAGTGGAGCTGACACAGCAGGGGGGTGGTGTGCTCCCTGTATGACGCTCCGGTGAGTAATCTGGCTGCCGGATGACCTCACCCAGCGGTTTCATGTAGATTTTAAAAAGCATGGGAGACAGAATGGAGCCTTGCGGGACCCTACAGGTCAAAGGCCAGGGGTCTGAGCAGGTGTCTCCCAGCTTCACCATCTGGGAACAACCCTCCAGGAAGGACCGGAGCCATGACAAGGCCGTGCCTCCAAGGCCCATCCCAGAGAGTCATCCCAGAAGGATATCATGATTGATGGTATCGAAAGCTGCTGAGATATCCAAGAGAACCAACAGGGTCACACTCCCCCTGTCCAGCTCTCTGTGGAGATCATCCACCAAGGCGACCAAAGCAGTCTCGGTGCCATGACCAGGTCTGAAACCAGACTGTGACTGATCCAGATAGTTGATGTCGTCCAGGAAGAATCCTGAAGCCTGCATCCTGGGAATGGTTAGTTCAGCAAAAAGGAGCCTCTGCGCTCCTTTTTCTTTAAAGTATTGGCAGGAGATGCTGCGATTAAAACGGGAAATTCAAACCTTCAAAGACCAGCAGTTTACAAGACCTGTGCCATTGCACAAAAATTGCTATAAAAGGAATAAATAGGAGCCCAGCAAGGAATTAGAATAATAAAATAAAGCAGTGTTTCTCAATCTTCCTAATGTGGTGACCCCGTAATAGAGTTCCTCATGTTGTGGTGACCCCGAACCATAAAATTGTTTTTGTTCTTACTTCATAACTATAACTTTGCTACTGTTATAAATCGTAATGTAAATATCTGATATGCAGGATGTATTTTCATTCACTGGACCAAATTTGGCACAAATACCCAATACGCACAAATTGGAATACTGGTGGGGGTTGGGGGGGGATTGATTTTGTCATTTGGGACTTGTAGTTGCTGGGATTTACAGTTAATCTACAATCAAAGAGCATTCTGAACTCCACCAATGATGGAATTGAACCAAACTTGGCACACAGAACTCCCATCACCAACAGAAAATACGGAAAGGATCACATTCTTCAGCTGATGTATCCATTTGGGGAATACGTTTCAGCACCTTGGATAGCTCTAACTAAACCCCCAAATAACTCTACTACTTTGCCGTAAGCCACCAACTTTCCAGCAAATGGAAAAGGCTCCATGCCCTGCAGGGTCCCTTAACACTTATGAATCTTCTTGAGAAAGAAAACCTAACACATGCCAGCTTCTTCTTTGCTGCCTGCTCTTCTGCTTTGCCCATCTTCCAAAACATCAAGAGGAAGAGAAAATCAAAATTCACTCCATCAATGTCACTAAGGTTGGATAAACCACATCAGCTGTAGATTATTAAATATAGTTTTCTGTGGGTGAGCAGATGGCAATTTTTATTTATTTTTTTAGAACTTTTATATGCCGATCTTCTCTAACCTCCGTAGAGGGACTCAGACCAGCAACTACTGGATGACATATGTTCCGTATCAGAAACTCAAGCTGATGTGGTCTATCCAATGCAATTTTCTGAATCAGTACCACAAATAACCAAAACCAATCTAAAGTTGACCAAAAACTGATTCGTAACCCTTTTGGTACCAATGTCGGAGAGTGGTCCCTGGTCAAGTGGTCCCTGGCAAAAGTGGTCCCTTTTGAAGTGGTCCCTGGTCAAAGTGTTCTCTGGCAAAAGTGGTCCCTGGTCAAAGTGGTCTTTAGTCAAAATGGTCCCTGGTCAAAGTGCTTCCTGGTCAAGCATTCCCTAGTCTAAATGGTCCCTGGTCAAGTGGTCCCTCGTCAAAGTGTTTCCTGGCCAAAGTGGTCCCTGGCAAAAGTTGTCCATGGTCAAAGTGTTCCATGGTCAAGTGGACCCTGACCAAGTGGTCCCTGATAAAAGTGATCCCTAGTCAAAATGGTCCCTGGTCAAAGTGGTCCCTGGTCAAGTAGTCCCTGGTCAAAGTGGTCCCTGGTCAAGTAGTCCCTGGTCAAAGTGGTTCCTGGTCAAAATGGTCCCTGGTCAAAGTGGTCCCTGGCCAAAGTGGTCTCTAGTCAAAGTGGTCCCTCATCAAGTGGTTCCTGGTCAAAGTGGTCCCTAGTCAAGTGGTCCCTGGTCAAAGTGGTCCCTAGTCAAAGTGGTCTCTAGTCAAAGTGGTTCCTGGTCAAGTGGTCCCTGGTCAAAGTGGTCTRTAGTCAAAGTGGTCCCTAGTTAAAATGGTCCCTGGTCAAGTGGTCCCTGGTCAAAGTGGTCRCTAGTCAAAGTGGTTCCTGGTCAAGTATTCCCTGGTCAAAGTGGTCCCTAGTCAAAATGGTCCCTGGTCAAAGTGGCCCCTAGTCAAGTGGTCCCTGGTCAAAGTGGTCTCTAGACAAAGTGGTCCCTAGTCAAAATGGTTCCTGGTCAAGTGGTCTCTGGTCAAAGTGGTCCCTAGTCAAAGTAGTCCTTCGTCTAGTGGTCCCTGATCAAAGTGGTCCCTAGTCAAAGTTGTCCCTGGACAAAGTAGTCCATGGTCAAGTAGTCCCTGGTCAAAGTGGCCCCTGGTCAGAAAATGGTTGGGTAACATAATATTTATTTATGTGTGTATTTATTTACTGTATTTTTATCCCACTCTGTCTCTACCCCAAAAGGGGCTCAAAGCAGCTTTCAAATTGGCAATCATTCAGTGCCAAAACAAACAATATAATAATAATAATAATAATAATAATAATAATAATAATAATACTTTATTTATAACCCATCCTCTTCTTCCCAAAGGGACTCTGGGCGGTTTCCAAAGTATAAGAAAAATGGCAAACATTCCATGCCAAAAATAAACAAACAACAATCAAGACGATATTTGGAAGGGGAAAAAACTAAACTTAGAAATAACCAAACTTCACCAAGGATGAACTAAGTGAACTAAGTGAAAGAAGGAAGGGAACGAAGGGAAAGAGGAAGGAAAGAGAGATGGAAGGAAGGATGAAATAGAGGAAGGGAAGGATGGAAGGAGAAAGAGAAGGAAGGACAAACAAAAGGGAGGGAAGGATGAAAGGGTGGAAGGGAAGGATTGAAGGGGAGGAAAGAGAGGAGGAAGGAAGGATGAAAGGGTAAAAAGGAATGGAGGGCGAAAGAGGGAGGTATGAGAGGGTCAGAGGGGAAAAAAGAAAGAAGGAAAGACTAAAGGGAAGGAAGGAAGGAGAAAGAGAGAAAGGAGAGGAAAGAGAAGAAGGGGAAGAAAGAGGTGGGAGGAAGGGAGGGAGGAAGAATGGAAGGAAGGAATGAAGGGAGGGAGAAGGAAGGGAGGAAGGAGAAGAAGAAAGGGAAGAGGAAGGAAGGAGAAGAAAAGAGGAAGGAAGGAAGGGAGGAAGGAGAGGGGAGGAAGGGAGGGATGGAAGTAGGGAGAAAGAAGGAAGGAAAAAAAGGGAAGGAAGGAGAGGAAGGAGAGAGGGAAGGGAGAGGAGAGGAAAGGGAAAGGAGGAAGGGAGGGAGAAAGAGGGAAGGAAGGAAGGAGGAAGGAGGGAGAAGAGGGAGAAGAAGGAGGAAGGAAAAGAGGAGAGAGGGAAAGGGAAGAGAGAGGAAGAGGGAAGGGAAGGGCGAAAGGGGAGGAAGAAGGAGGAGGGAGAAAGAGGGAGAAAGAAGGAAGAAGGAAGAAGAAGAGGAAGGGAAGGAGAAGGAAGAGAGGAAAGAGAGAGGGAAAAGGAGGAAGGAATGGAGGGAAGGAAGGAGGAAGAAAAAAGGAAGGAAAAGAGGGGGAGGAGGGAAGGAAGGAAGGGGAAAGGGAAGAGGAAGAGGGAAGGAAGGGCGAAGGTGGAAGGAAGGAAGAGGGAAGGAGAAGGAAGGAAGGAGAAAGCAGGAGAGAGGAAGGAGGAGGAAAGAGGGAAGGAGGGAGAAAGGAGGAAAAGGGAAAGAAGGGAGGAGGAGAAAGGAAGGGAGGAGGGAGGAAAAGAGAGAAAGACAAAAAGGAAGGAAGGAGAAAGGGAGAGGGGAGGAGGGAAAGGGAAGAAGAGGGAGGAGGAAAGAGGAAGAAGGAGGGAGGGAGGAAAGAGAGAAGGAAGGAAGGATAGGATGGTGTGAGAGAAGAGGGCCTGGATGAGGCCTCTTGGGCCTCATGATGACAATAATCAGATGTAGAAGAGACTCCACCCCAAGAAGCCTCCCTCAGAAGAGTAAGGAGCAGAGGAGAGATGGGGCAGGGCACACACAGAAGGAAGGGTCCTCCCCAAAATACAAAATACAAAGAAAGGAGTGGAGTCTGGAGAGAGATGGAGGCGCAAAGAAGAGAGTGAGACCTCCCACCAGAAGATCTTTTGGCCTCAGAGGAAGGGGAGGAAGGGGGAGAAGAGGGGGGGGGGTTGCAAAGGTCTCCCCCCCCCCCCCGCCTGCATTGCAGTTGCGTATGGGCGAAACACACTCACCGGCGGCTAAGGATTCGGCTCGGGCTGCGGCGCGCAAGAGCCGGTAATAGAGCTCCATCTCGGCTTCGGAAATGCGGACCGGAGGGAGGGGGGGCCCCCGGGAAGCCATGGCTGCCTCCTGACCCAGGAGTGTGGCTGCTGCAGGGGCCACAGGGGTCCCTTTAGCCCTGGGCCCCCTTGGAGAAGGCATTGGCTGCCTAGGAGCCTCTTCCCATCCTCCTCTTGAGATGGTTAATTAAATACTTAACTCACTACACTCACTCTTGATAGCTGTGCCTTTGGATCTTCCTTCCTTCCTTCCTTCCTTCCTTCCTTCCTTCCTCCTTCCTTCCTTCCTTCCTTCCTCTCATTCTCTGCCTTGGAGAAAGAGGGTGCACAGGATGACCTTGCATGTAAGTTCAAGCCCTTTGTACATAAGTCGAGAAATGTCCCCCTCCTCTTCTTCTTCTTCCTCCTCCTCTTCCCTCTCCGAGGCTTTCCTTTCAGACGTGACCGAGCAAGATGCGTGACGGCAGCTCACCCTCGGTATCCGCTTGGTTTGAGTCCAAGGCACCCAAATCCAGGAGACCACCAAGCTAATGAGGCATAGCGAATAATGTATTCCTGTCAACAATACTGTGTGTGAGTGTGAGTGTGTGTGTGTGTGTGGGAGGGAGGGAATAGGGACCTTGCATGTAAGTTCAAGCCCTTTGTACGTAAGTCGAGATAGGGGCACGTACGTAAGTCGGAACATGTCACCCCATGTATGTAAGTCGGGACGGGCACCTTGAATATAACTTGGAACAGGTACATTGTAATTGTAGACATATATATAGGAGAGCCCTCCTCCTTCACCTCTTCTCGCCTAGTTTCTCCCTGAAAGGGTGGAATCCCTTCCCTCCTTCCTTCCTTCCTTCCTTCCTTTCCTTCCTTCCTTCCTTCCTTCCTTCCTTCCTTCCTTCCTTCCTTCCTTCCTTCCTTGTGTATGAAGAGCTGAAATTGACTTCCTTGTGTAGACCGCTACATATAGATCTTATTCTGGCCTCTCCTGTAGATCCTGTAGTTTTTGTGTAAAACCTTAAGTTGGCTTGTTATACTGATATATACTGAGCAAGAGTGTGACCAACCAGCTGTGCTGCCCCACCTCCGAGCTACCACCTCCGGAAGCCCATCTGCTGGTATACCAACCGTCCAGAGATTTACTGGGGTCATAGCAATACTTAGCCAATTATAACTAGGCCCCACCCCATAACGAGGGTGATCGTATATTACCAACTAGTTCATTCCTGGCTGCCATCTGTGGTTATCTGTCGCCATTGTGATAAGAACGGAATAGAGTACTAGGCGCCTACCTCTTTGCTGCTAGATTGCACCAGCACTTACGCCCCTTCCCCGCCCCTCTGTGCCGCACTTTATTACTGCTAAATAGAGCACTTTAGATCTAGCACTTTACCATGTTGCCTTTATGAATATGTGTTGCTGTTGATTGAATACGAATATTGAGGGGGTGCGCCTAAAATCCTCGCACTTTAAGAAGTATATTTGCACTTTAAGAACTAGCTCAT